TCGTGTTCCAGTAAACGCCCTCACACATCTTTCTTTACTCAACATGCATCTCAGTAACCTTCTTAAAGGCCTTTATGTTGTTGCCATTCAAGCCACAGAGCTCAGGCTTCTCCACTCAGCCATACATTTCCTTCCTCGGGGGAAAAACAACGGCAGTTTCATATAGCTAGAGACGATTAAAGTCAGCCGTCCAAATATAATGTCAAAGATTGTCTCAACGGCAGAATGAATTTGTGCATCCTGCCATGTATAAAAGAGGCGCTATTAGCATGTTAATGTATCACTGCAAATAAACACATGCACATTCTAGCCAATAAAACAATGGTTCCCACCACTGTTTGGCTTGTGACCTTAACGACTGGAAAACACTCCTCTAAACACACTAAAAATCATTACAAAGCAAAGTTCTATATTATGTTTCGTGTTGTCCACTCATGCTGTGCTTTCCAGTTGTAATCCTGCACACAGATAGCGGACATGCTGTAAGAGCCCATATGTTTACATTCCGTGTGACATATATCTAATTTAAGTGCTTCTGACGTATCGCAGTGATAAAAACGCTGTGAGAGCATTCTGCCTCGTTGGCCGTCGTTGGGAGCTAAATGTCTGAAGGTGAGATCGACTTCAGGGTCAAACCACAAACTCTGTAAGCCTCCATTGATTTACAGGGGGCTCTCCTCTCATCCCTCTCTGTCATAGCTCTCATAATAGCCACTTGCGAAGCAGATGGCGTCTGCATTTTTAACATACAACTGTGTTGCTTTTCCTCTTTTGTGGTCTCCAGCCGTGGAGGTTAATGATTTAACGAGTGAGACCTTCTGAGAAACAGGAACATATTCAAACTGGAGCTGGAATTCACTCCTCTGGTGTGCAGTTATTTCCCTTAATTGTTTCCTGATCTTTGCCCTTGAGGTTTTCCCTGACCCGGCATTTCCTGACGGGGCTCAGTGGCAGACGTGGATTTTGGGAAGATGGAAGAGGTTCCTGTGTGTGTGTGTGTGTGTGTGTGTGTGTGGTTGGTTGGTGCTGGTCCAGTCCAGGTGCCAGCAAAGCCAAATGTACCTCATTTACTTCTGACACACACTTCTCCATCACCTCCACACTTGAAGCCTGGACTCATTCAGACTATTCCTGAAGCGTTCCAGCGAGATTGTTCCCACAGCATTTATGTGACGTTGTAATGGGTTCCCAACGAGGCCAGGAGCTCCCACATTACCGCCTGGTGTTTCCCCTTGATCGATACTAGTTTGGAGTCAGAGCTGAAGACCTCAGACTGAAACAAGGACGTGACATGGATTTAGCTGCTGTGAGACTGATTCATGATGATTTGACATGATCTACATCGATTTAAATTCATCCTTCTTTCCATCTATTCTCCATCCAAAGGTAGCACAGAAGTGTTTCTCCCTACATCTCCCATCCTGGAAGATCCAGAGGCTTTCTCAGTCCCCAAAGACTTCATTTGAAACTTTAAAGCGAAAACATTCAGGACTCAAGTCTCTTTTGATCTGCTGAACTCGTGAAACGGTAGAAACATGAATAAGACAGAAACAGGTGGTCTTTGTGTAGCTACAAATCCTGCATCATTAGTACTTTGTCCCAAAGTTTGGCTGAATTAAATGAACAGAATTTAACAAATAGCTTAACTGCTGTTTTCCTTTTGTGTTCAGCATGTTTCCAGGATTTACTGCAATGAAGCCGCTGTTACAAAACACACATTATGTAAATGTAACGTAGTTCCTAGTTGTTAAAAAAGCTTTTGATTGTCGATTTGGAAAGTTTAAATGAGACTTGATTTGGACGACCCCCAAAACACTTCAAGAAAAAGCTCTGGTTGGAAAGTGTTGTTGGTATAAATGTGAAATTGACACAACTGGCCTAGAGAGGAGGGTAATCTCACTCTTAAGTAGAATAATCCCTTGAATACTCTCCATGCCCACACTCCCAGGGCTTCACCAAAGCCTCACTCTGTTGTTTATCACAGCTTTGACCTAAATTAAGTTTCATCCTCAGTGATTGAGCCTAAACCTCCCAATAACTTGCGTCACATGACCCCAACCTGACACAGCTGTTTCTGTTCTGTACTCTTTGTTTTGGACTTTAAACTCTTGTGAAGCGATTGATGCATACTTTCTTTATGGGGTGGAAAGGGTAGAAAAGTTCAGTCCTCCCGCTGAGCTGCACTGGTGGACTCTGTACCGTGTCCCAGACATCATCCCCGGGGGGGACGTCATCGTATCAGAGCATGAAGGGGAAGTGGACGATTCCTTTACATCGGGTCTAAATCATCCCTTCTCCATCCATGCTCCCAGCCTCTGCCCGTCTCCTCAGACTGGTTTTCTTTTTTCCACCTGGAAAAATAGCAGTCAGTGAAACGTGATACAGAGCGATGGGTGGGGGGTCGCTGCTCTGCCCCGCTAATGGAGATGGATGTGGGCTCAGAATTGTCTCCCAAACAGCCTCCATGACGGAGAGAGAGAGAGAGGGAGAGGGAGAGATCCATTTCTCCTGCTCCTCCACGGCTGCAGAACTCCTTTAATGAATTGTTGATTTGAGAGGAGGGGAGACCTGCAGAGAGAATGGGATGGGAGACGGAGAAGACATGCGGGGGAGACAGAAAGAGAGAGAGCGGGTTGAGAGAAGATGAGCGGCTGGAGAATGGAGTGCAGGAATGAATGACATGTTGACAACGGAGGAAGATAGATGATAAGACAGCAGGGGGAGCGGACGGATTGAAGGAGTAATGATATTCAAAGAGGTATAATGCAGAGAGAGAAAGCCCCGAGATGGAGACTGACGGAGACAAATGGACCATGATTGCCTACAAATCACTCCGTTGCCATTATGCCGCCAGTAAGTCCATCCTCGAAAAATGCCGCCTTCCCTTTCCTGTACCCCCACGGTTGAGATTCCTCCTGTGTTTTACTATCACAGGTATCACAACAGTTTAGGGAGCTTTCGGGTGAAACAACGGGAACATCTGTCGTAGTAAAACAACACGGTGGATGATGAGAGGCAGGAAAAGACAACTTCACCTGTAGGGCAAGAGGTAAAGTACATCTAAAGCTGAACTACAAGGTGTTTTATCCAACAGTCACCGAGTGATAAGAGTGTCCAATCCCAAGCAAATAACATATTCAGTGTTTTTATTGAGTTGGGTAAAAGGGGTTAGTCATAATCATGACATAATTAACATGACATCTTGATCTTCATGGTCCCCAGAAGATGAGTTCTACTTTGATGACTGTTCCTCTAGCACCACCATGAGGTTGACATTTGTGAGTGAACTGATTTAAACAACTATTTAACGGTCCCCTGACTTTTCATCCAAACTCCTAAACAGCAGCGAGACAAACCTCGAGGCATCGTAGTTCAGGCAGATCGTGTGGTGACATGGCCTCACGTGATATCTGCTTATTGAGGTTAACATTCTTCCACAGGTTATCTCTCACTGCCTGCTGCAGCTTTAATAATAAAGGGAAACACAATGGGAGTGAACACATCAGATCTGGGCAGAGATACTTTAGCTGACAATACTAACCGGATGATTTCAGATATTTCACACATCCGGATCAGGAAACGAGATCACAACTACTCTAGCTCCATCATAAAATGGCCACCTGCCTCCTGGTGTTAGCGTACATTCGTATTCTGCCTTGACAGCAGAGGACGTTCACAGTGTTCATTCTGCCAGAGTCGTTCTAGCCTCTGCAGTGGTTTGTATTTATGTGTGTGACTCACTCGAAAGCTCTTGATAAATTCAGGAGGATGAAGAAAAAAGAAAAAACCTCAGAAGCCGCAACAGTTTTTTTCTGTTTTCGCAACAAAGAAAATGGTCGGCCGCATCGACTTCCTGTTTTTAACCACTGTTGGCTGTAAACTGGGAGAAGCACACATGTGGACTCTCCTGCGCAGACGAACGCGGTTTATTTCAACCATTCAAGGCTTTTGTGTTTGTGCAGGAAGCTGTGAAGCTGCAGGGAATCATTTGATAGGAAAGGTGAGATTTGGACACTCCTAGTACTTGTGGCCATGTAGTGTAACACTCAAGAGAAAGTTACAGGACCGAGATAAAAATGTTAAGATATAACTGACAATGAAAGGAATGGATGTGGCCTTTTGTTCTTCTGATATATAAAACACAACAATAACGATAACAATTTAATAATTAACAATATTTGGCATTGTAGGTCCCAGAAATAGCCAAAGACCGTTATAAAGTTTAGCTTGTCGACAGAATATAGGAATTATTATATAAATTTGGCAACACACTTCAAAAGTGTAGACGGAGTCGTGATAGTCACGTGGCGTCTGACTCTGTCTACACTTTTTAAGTTTTTCATCCTCAGTTACATTCACAGCCCCCATCACATACAAGAGGCTACTGTTTCCAGTAGTTTTAATGTGGTTAAAGAAACCACACCTTGGTCTTTAAATTAATAATCTCATTTTTGTTCCATTGTGTGTGTGTGCGCGTGCGTGCGTGCGTGTGTGTGTGTGTGTGCGTGTGTGTGTGTGTGTGTGTGTGTATGTGTGTGCATATGTGTGTGTATACTCTTTCCAGGTCTTCTTGGTAGAGAGGACGTCATGTGTCTCAGGCCCTTCATGCTTTGGCAGCACCTGATGTTCCACAACATCTTCCTGGCTCCAGGTTCTTCATGTATGTTCACAATCCACCCTTAATGTTGTAATTTTACTGTTATTATTTCATCACTTGCATGTCTGTATTGGAAGCAGGATTCCTCCTCTGTTTTTCGTCTCTTAAAGGTTTTGTTAGGGAGTCTGAGCCTAAAGAGGAAGTTGATGAGTAGGACAGAGGGTCTCATATGCTGCAGATTTTACCTGACTGGCCTGAGCGGAGCGCTGACCTCAACCCTATACAACACCTCTGGGATGAAGGGGTTGTGGTCCGCCAGACCTCATTGCTCTAATGCTTTTGAACTCAATGGGAGCAAATCCCCAACATCATGTGGAAAGCCTGAAACCAGAAGAATGGAGGTCAGCAGATGAATGTTTAATAACACATATGGAGTATTGTAAGTGCCCACTATACTTTTGGCCATATAGTGTATGTCTCTGATGTCCTCAGAGGATCAAAATGTCTGCGTAAAAAAAATGCCGGAAAAATATTACATATTCATATTATTTTTCAATTTCTATTTCTTTACAGTCTGGAATATGTCAATGATTAGCAACAACATTGATTTTGATGCATTTTATTTTTTTGTGCAGGGAACCATAAACGTAGCATGTATTTGCCCCAAAGGGCAAACATGATAAAATAGCTCAATAGTAAAAAAATACGATTTAAAGGACGGGGCTCTAGATTGACAGCCTGATATAACAGAATGCATGATTTTATACTGGGTTGTGGGATCAAACATTGTGTTTTTAATGGGGACATTTTGTCCTTAAGGGTGTGTATTTTGGCCACACAGTTTATTACAGGAGCTGAGACTGAACTTCCAAGTAAATCATTTTAAAAAAAAACTCACACCTTTGCCAAAATGTACGCTATATGATTCAACACAGCCGCAATGATAAAAAAATTAAATTAAAAAGCCCAAACTGTCCCTAGTGAGGCTGAGTACTGAAAGATTTGAGTACTTCTTTCATCACTGCTGAACATTTTATGTTTCAGCAGCCACATAACAACCTACTCTTGTGCAACAGCTCCCCCTGGTGGATGAATATAATAAATCAGGCAAACGTGTCATAACAGAATTGTAACTCCTTCAGTCAAATTCAAAATTTATTTTTTACTTCATAGAAAAACACATAGATCAATGTTGACGATATGAGATAACGATTTACTCCATCTTGGTATCAACATGATCATCGTCCTGTTTACTTTTTCCTCTGACTTCCTGTATGGCCCTCCAGCTGTTCTCCAGACTCCTCCTCAGTTCAGCCAGATCCATCCTGATCTCCTCAAGGAGCTCCAGCTTTGAAAGCTTCCTGTCGATGGATGAGAGTACCTCCTGCTGTCCGGCCTCCTCCTCAACGACAGCCTCCTGCTCTGCGGTGGGACGGACAGGTTCCTGAAATGACCCCATAGTTTGCTCCCAAATCATCTCAAAGTACGAGTCAATGAAGGCTTCCAGCTCCTCCAGGCTGCTGTCGTCCCACTGGTCGATCAGCGCCTGCAGACCTCCGGCCTCACTGAGCCTCCTGAGAGTCCGCCCTCTCAGCGCGCGCTGGCAGAGCGAATGCACGCCGAGGCCATTTTCCTCCACAACTATCCCGTGTTGTGTTTGAGGCACAACCAGAAGCACTGTTGGATGTGTGGACGAGAACGGACGGCGTGCACCGTTCAGTCTCAGGTGAAGATCATCAGTCGGGAGCCAGACGGGCAGATTCACGGTCCACCTGGGTGCTGCTTCACCAGAGAGCATAGAGGCTAAACAGGACAGGAAGCGGTCTCTCTCCAGGATGTTGAGTCCAGTCCGTGCTGTTCTTCCTGCTGGTAGTGCCACTATCTGACTTCCAGGGCCTCCTGAGCGGTTTAGAGATGTTTGAGTGGTGGGATTGGCTGATGCAGTCACTGTAAAGGAGATAATAAAGGCAGATGGATTTCATGTGAGCTGTAAAAATTCCAACAAATTCTTTAATAACCGTCTCCACCCATCCTAAGATATAAATCTGCTTATCTCCCTGTTACAGATACTACCTCACTGTTAACACCTCAAACCAGTTTAGATGTCATCCCTCCCCGCGTTACACCTGATATGACTTTTCTTATTATAGATTTTTGTATGCGTTGCTTCCTCATATGCTGTTTTGCATAATGCGTATTCTTTCATACTTTGCAGGACATGACTACATGTTTAATAGGCTGCTTCTTTTTTTTTTATTTAGCCTTCCCGTTCTTAATTTTGATAAACGTTTTTTTAAATATGTGTTGTATTTTATTTATAGTAAATGTTATTTATAGTCATATTTTTATTTATTTAACCTCACATTTAATACATTCAAAAATTGTATCCTGGCACAATACACATTTTGTCAGAACTCTTAATCTAAATTTGAGGGAACAAATGAAACAAATATTTGAGTGTTTGTTTTAAAAAGGGCTTAAAGAGACACAGAGGGTGAATGCAGGTCGATTCAAAACACAGTGAGATGAAAATAATGTGTTACGTGATCATTAAAACATGTGAACATGCCCTAGTGGAAACCCGAAATACAAGAATGAACCTCAAAACGAGCACAACGTGTCCTCTTTAAGTCACGTCTACTTGTGACCCATCGTCAACAGCATATATCTATTACAGGTTAACATAATAATACGTGGGGGGGGGGCATCTCTGTCCCTCCCTTCAGCCCCGTGGATTGCCATTCTCCCTCCATCCTCATGGCCGCAGACTCTCCCACCTGTCACCAGCTCACCTGTTCAGGCCCACTCCTTCCCTGCCAGATTGTCAGTGTTGTCTATGCCTTTGTGTTGCAGCCATGTGGACATGTTGTACCTGATTCTGTTCCAGTTCCTGCTGTGTTGTGACCAGTTCCGGCTCACCGGTGTGAGTGTTCAGACTGCCTTCCTGCTGCCAACCTGTAAGTCTGATCTTGACGTTTACCTCAAGTAAATTTCTCTTATAAACCTGAGTCCTCCTCCAGTTTCCAGACTTCCCCAGTGGTAACAAAACTAGTGACATTTATAATCGATCATGTTCTTATTTCTGTCCTGTTAATTGTCTCATTGTAACCAAACAATTACAAACAACAATCCTGAGTAAACTGCCTCAATCTATCGCGGGGGGAAAGAAACATCAGTGCATCATATTTACTTACGGTCATGGGACAGCTGATGCCTGCACCTCGTGATCATCTTTAGATCTTTTTCACACAGCGTCACATCTCGCAAAGAATCCCGTATCCACATGTGATCCCCTCTGTGAAGAATAGCCAGCCTGTCTTCAACCAGCGTCTCCTCGATCAGGTCGATGAGGTCGTTAACCTGAGCGCCCTCCCCCCGGTGTTTGTTATCCAAGACGTGATATCTGTTCCCGCACCTCTCCACGAGCCTCTGCAGCGGCTCCCCTTCACTCTCGATGCGCTGCTCGATGCTCGTGTCGCCCAGCCAATCGCCGTGGCTGAACAGGACCGCAGCTCTGCTCCACATCTGGCCTCCTCCCGCCTCCAGCTGTTTCTCCGTGGCCTCCGCGTGGTCAGCGTCGAAGGAGGAGCTCACGTTGACGACCAGGAGGATGACGCTGGACGCCGCGTGGAGGAGCTCAGAGGTCACGGAGAAGCAGCCCTGCGTGTCCAGCACTGCCACCGTCTTGCCGCTGATTGTGGCTCGTTTTTCGGAGCAGGAAGCGGTTTGGGTTTCTGTGTGGAAGCACTGTCTGCCCAGGATGGTGTCCGCACATGAGCTCTTACCTGTTTTCCTGCCGCCAATCAGCACTATTCTCAGTTCCGTAATAGGGTCGAGCTTCTCTGTCGGAAAAAGCAGTTTCACACATCAGACAAACTCTTTCTGGTTGAATTGTGTCCAAAAAATCTAAGCAGAAAAACACCATCTTAACTAACTCACCCAGCTGAGACCTCGCCGTCTTCCTTTGTTTCTCCTTCCTCATCAGTCTCTCCTTGGCTCTCTCCTCCTCTCCCCTCATCTCCCCCTCCAACTCTTCCACCACTTCCCTCTCTATTCCATGATGCCGGCAGCCGTTGCAGCCGGCCAACATTTCTTCAATCTTCCCAATCAGCTCTCGGACTTGAAACCCATCCCCTTTCGTTTTGTTGTTCAGGACGTGATACCTGTTGCCGCATCTCTCTACGAGCCACCGCAGAGGCTCTCCCTCGCTCTCGATGCACTGCTCGGTGGTCGTGCCCCCGAGCCAGTCCCCGAAACTGAACAGCACGATGACGCGACTCCAGATGTGTTCGCCGATCAGCCGGAGGTGCTCCTCCGCTGCCCTCCTGTAGGTTTCGGTGAAGGCTCTGTCCACACGGATCACCAGCAGGAAGACGTGAGGCCCCGGAGGGCAGAGGGACGAACCGAGCACCAGCTCCCTCCGGTCAAAGACGGGACTCTCGCCACAGAAGTAGTTCATCCACCAGCCCGGTGTGTCCACCACGGTCACCTGTCTCCCAAACACCACTCCTTTTCCAGCCAGACACCGGGACGTTCTCCTCGCTCGCTGGCCGCTCTCTCTGCTCAGGATTGTGTTCAGAGTGGAGCTTTTCCCAGAACCCTTCGCTCCCACCAACACAATCCGGAGATAACTTACGGGCCGCAAACTCTCTGAAAGAATGAAGCGGTTTTTTCAGACTTCTATGTTGAATCCATTTCTAGGTAGCAGCGGTTTAATGATTTGAAAGTGAAGAAACCGCTCGGTTACAGGAATAGTTCAACATTTGGGGAAATGCACTTGTTCTCTTTCTTGTAGAGCGTTAGATGATCAATACCACTCTCATATATGTCAGTTCAACATGAGTAAGTTAGCTTAGCTCAGCATAAAGTGTGTAAAATGTGCCAGTTTCCCAAAATGCATATTCCTTAAACAAAGCTTTTTGCTTCAAACGTTTTTTAGACTTTAACGTGTAACGAAACATTTCAAAGATAATGATGAACTCGCCTCTCATGAGAGATCTGTGTTTCTTCATTCTCACAAACCTCTGCCGAGCCCTCTCCTCCACTCTCCTCTTCTCCTCCGCAGTCGCCTGCAAAATGCTTTCCTGCATTTCGAACACTCCGTTTCCCGCGACAACTTTCTGTATCTTCTCCAGCAGCTCGGTGACTTCGGTGTCATCGCCCGAGATAAAGCTGTGACACCTCTGACCGCACTTCCCACTGAGCCAGCGGAGGGCCTCTCCCCCCCTCTGTACGAGCTCCTCGGCTCCTGTGCGTTTGGCCCCATCAGCAGAGGCGAAGACGACCATGCAGTGACTCCACACCCTCTCGCCCAGCAGGGCCACGTGCTCCTCCACGGCCCTCCGACGCTTCTCTGAGAAGCCCGAGCTCGCCTTGATTGTGATCAGAAATACATGCGGGCCTGGTGCGCACAGGGAGACGCTGCTTACGATCTCCCTCTTCACCAGCTCAGATGTATCCTGGGAGCTGAAGTCGCACCACCAGCCGGGAGTGTCCACCACCGTGAGCCACCGGCCGGCCACCGCAGCCAGTCTCCTGGAGCACGAGGTCCTCTCTTTGGTGACGAACTCCTCTTTGCCCAGGATTAAGTTCCCCACAGAGCTCTTTCCACAGTTTCTGCCACCGAGGAGGATAATCTTTAACTGTGATACACAGCCGCCATCCCCTGACACAGAAACAGAAATGAAAGCACAGAAAAGATTCATATTAAAGCTAAAATCAAATGGATTGATGGAGTCAATTAATCCATTTGTCACTTCACAGGAAGTTCAGCATTTTAAAGCAAAAAAAAGTCATCTTAATAAATTTGAATATTTGCTGGTTTCTTTCTCTTTTGTTAGTTAATTAAATAACTTTGAGTTTGAATATATTTGACTGAAAATTTAGCGCCAACTATTTTGATAATCGATCAATCACTTCACAGTCATTCTTTTCAAGCCTCTCAAATGTTTGCTGATTTTCTTTGTTTATTATGATAGTAAGTTAAATATCTTTCGAGTTCAAATCATTACATCTTAAATCATAACACACTTTGACAATGATATAGAAATGTCATTATTTCTAGGCTAATTGCTGAAATTAAAATGCACAAAAAATAATAAGACAATAGTCGAGATAAAAAAAAGTTCAAATAGATAAAATATTAAGAAGACATTTAAAATATGACACTTGTACCGACTACATAACTATTACAAAGTAGGAGTTGTTTAAAAATAAAAGTCAACCATGATAATGCATGTGATATAGTTATTATCAAGAACATCAAGAATTCAAACTTACATACTGACAGTCTGCTGGTTGCCATGTCACATTCTCTAAAGGCAGGACGACTTTAAAACAAACAGTTATTCTTATTTCACGTCCATGTTTCTGTGTTCTCTGTGAAAAATGTGGACAAAGCTTCCCATTGAAGGAGTGATACTGTCGCAGAAGTTTGTGTTTTATGTGTTTATGAGTCTGAAGGTTGTCTGTGATGAGTGATCAGTCACACATGCAGTGAACCACACCTCCCAGCAGCAGGTCGACAGTCCACAGAACAGAAACACAAGAGTCTGTGCAGCATTTATCATTTACCAAACCCAGACAGATAGTACAGGGTTCTGTACAATCACAGTGTTATCAAGTGAATTTACAATCATTGCAGGTGGAAAGAAATAATCAAGATACAGGACTGTAAATATAAGCAGGACTTAAAAACAGTCGTTCGTTCTGGTGAATAATGATAACTGAGCTTTTGCGAGATCCAATTTAATCACGTACTGTACTTATGTATCAATTTGAGGCATATCTTCTACTACCCTACAGTCCAAATGGAAATATTTGACTTCTATAGTTAAGATACTATTTACAGATTAGGATTTTACACAAAAAAACATAAAATAGGATTAGATGTTGTAGATTAAACCACCAGAATATCCAATAGTGTATAAAATAGTTCAATTTAGCTCTACCTCGACCAACCGCAAGAGTAAAACATGATATGCAATCCTGTAACAGTAACAGGGGCACATTTATCTGCATTAAAAGTACTTTTACTTTATTTATATATATTATTATTATATTTTATATAATTACATACTTTTGGGTTACATATTCGAAGCAAGAGTATTTTTACATTGTAGTATGGCTACCGTCTCTGAACTATGTCAGCTTAAATATGACATTTTTAAGCTGTTGTTTGTATATATTATGTTTCATATTTCAGTTAGCATTCGCTTTTGAGTCATGCATTGTTTTTGTATTGAGTGCAAATGATTCTTCTAATATGATACACATTTACATATCTGCATTTAAAATCCTACCGAAGTAATATTATAGACTATATATCAACAAAATGTACCACAAGTATCTAAGTAAATAAATGTCCCCTGTGACTGATATAATATCATATCTGACATTATTAGTTTGGTAACACGACAAGTTTCATTTCATGGGGTCTATAACAGTTGTTAGAATTAGTATCAGGAGTTAATCACACACAGTTATTTTCAGTAAACATGGCCGTCATTACGTGTATGGAGCCTCGACGCAAAACGATGTGTCATCGGTCACTATTAGACCACCGATAACGACAGTTTGCAAAACATCCTATCAGCCAATTAATCAGCCAGACACTGAGGCATTAACATATAGGCAGATTGTATCTGTTGTAGCTACTGGAGGTTCGAGCTAGTTTAGTCCAGTGGTTCCCAATTTAAGATTTGGGGCCCCTCCAGAGGGTCTCAAGATACATCTGAGGGCTCGGAGATGATTGATGAGGGAGGGAGGAAGAAAACGTTCTACTACAAACATTTATATTCATTTGTTTGCTGTGAAATAGGTGATTTTACCCTCATATGGCTCTCATAGACACCTGGAAGTTATCAAAAGGGCCTCAACTACAAATACATTTTATTTGTAAGGGATCACAAGCCAAAAAAGTCAGGAGCCACTTGATTCATTTTAACAATGTGTTGCATTTATAAGCTTATCGCGTGTTGTTTTCCTTATCTGAAACATTACTAGCAAATGCAGTAGAGTAAAAAGTACAATAAATACGTCTGAAGTGAAGCATTATCCTCAGCTGCTGTTACATTAAAAACCCCAGCATGAATTCCTTTACACTGTAAATTGAATCGCCTCCCTTTATTTGGTTCCGGGTTAAACCCCGCCCCGCCGCCCGGCTCCGTGTTACAAAAGCAGCGATCACGCCGGTCCATACACAGCTTTGTACCGTTGAGACAGCCAGCCGAGGAAAACACAGCAACAATGGGGTTGACAGTTAAAGTCGAATACTGGTAACTACATCTTTTATCACATCCCTTTCTTGTGTACGTTTTAAGCTAACCTGCGTCTGTTTGTGGCCGTTAATCCTCCCGAAGAGACGGCTATTACTACACATTAGCTATTAGCATCATTAGCTCACAGAAACAAGAGGTTTTCTGCTTTTAAAGTAACGTTGCGGTCGTTTCCCCCCCCTCGCAGCGGTAAGTGAGGTTATGAACCCCGCTATCGGGAGCTGTACAGCGTGGTCAAGCGTGACTTTCCCGATGCGGAGTTGTCTGGCTTCGTGGGAAGACAAGGCGAGTATATCTCATAACGTGATTTCAGCCGAGAGTGCAGGATAACTTAATGATGTCCATTTATTTGTGACTGATCACTATCTTTAATGTGAAGGCGCGCGTGTTATTCAGGGCAAAGCTCAATCCAAGGGGCGTGAAGGGTGACGTTCTTATTGCCTTGTCATGTTGCAGGCAGCTTTGAGATTGAACTCAACGGGCAGCTGATCTTCTCCAAGCTCGAGCTGGGGGGGTTCCCAAAAGAGGATGACGTGAGTAAACGTACAGGTTTAACAGACCCGTTCATGTAAATGTGCACGTAAGTACTGTACTTAAGTTCAGGTGAGAGCTTATTGTACTTTACTTGAGTGTTTTGTCAACTACACTATTAAATTCATCTGAAAGATTTGGTTTGAGGAGCTTGTTTTTAAAACGTTTTTTCAATGCTGTTAAATTACGATAATAACACTCTCTGCTGTTTATGTTTTTCTCTCCTGCCACAGGTCTTGGCTGAAATTCAGAAAGCCCACGATGGCAAACCTGTAATGAAGATCACCAAAAGCCGTGCACCCTGCGTCATCATGTAAACCCCCCCCCCCCCCGTCCTGCACCCCCAAAACACGCACTACCCCCCCCCCCCCTTAGCTGCCCCCCCCCCCCCCCAACCCTGCTGAAACCAGGCTGGGGTAGCTTCTGTCGCCAGACGTCTTGCTCCCCCTCTCTGTTCTTGTTGTGGTGCTCCAGGCTGTTAATGATTACTGTAGCCTAAAAGCTTAAAGGTTACAGTATGATGAATCCATTCCTGGAAGGGCCTTGTCATAGGAGCTGAGATGGGGAGAAGATGTCGCCGAAGGAATGAAGGGAGTTCACTCTTCCTGCACCCTCTTTGCCTCATATTTCTCTAACTGCCTAATTCTTTTGTTTGTTGCTGCTCTCGCATGCAGATACCGGTTTCCACAGAATGCAAGGGTCATGCAAAGTAGATGCCGTTATTTATTTATTTTTTTTTAAGGGAGCCTCTTGTTTCTGCCTCTGCACAGCTCTTTGATGAATAATCGGTTCCAGGATATGATGAATATGTGAAACATTACTGTAAGGGTTATGGAAGGTAAAGCAATTTGTGGTCGGTCTATGCAAAATTAAGCTTGCAATAGTGTCTTTGTTTCTCCATTTCAAATTGGAATACTTTAAAACTTCTGTCGGGTTTTTTTTCTACTTTTTTTTTTTTTTTTTTTTAATGAAAAGCTTCTCTGTATTTTTAACTGTCGGGGACTAGAGCGATCATCACCAGTGCTTCTGAAGACCACCACCCACTGGCCTGTCAGCTCATGCTTAATTAGATGTCGGCTCATTTTCAAATCATCTCAATGTTCACTCAAAACTTTTCGACTTTAAATAAACATACTGTAATAGTTGTTAATGTGCTGCTGTTGTCATTCTTTTATGACGTCAAAGGTGTCTTTCTTTCATTTGAGCATATTGTACTATGATTCTATACAGATTCACTAAAGTTATTGTGTAAGAATCTTTTGTTAAGTGCTCTATAATTAGCCTTCTCTTCGTGTTCACCTTTAAACACACTGGGTTGGGCTCCTGTGGGACGCCTCCATGGTTGGTTAACAGGTTGAGTCTCTTGATGATGTTGGCCAGCAACTGCCAATTATTTTTGTCCACAAGTTGAACACAGTGTCTCTCTGTTATGTTAGCGGCCCGTGTGGCAACAGTTGGTCGAGTAACGCTGAACATAAACAGTGTTATGTTTAAGTTCCTCTCTCATCAACACACAAGGGACAATTCGGGTCCCAAAAAAAAGCACATTTAAGTCGCTCTGAGGATTATTTAACAAAAAATATTGAATGACCAGTTCAGTGAGACTCATTTGTTATGCTTTCTTACATTTAGTGGCATAGCAATTTTAAAAAATCCTGGTTATGTAGAGCAAGAGTTAAACGATGTATTTGTTTGTGCCACGTTAATTACACTAAGGGGCGCCAATGTCGACACACTCCCAAACTCAGTATTTAGCCTCTGGCCTCCCCCAAGCTCAAAGAACAAACACTGAAAACAAAAATAAGGCACATGATTCAAATGAGGACGTGTATGCAGCAGTCTGAAAAACCACAGCAAAGCTGGAGGGTGTTCTCAAAATATCTTCTGCCACAAGTTGTTTTGTATAAATGAAATAGTTTTACTCAATTTCATTCCGTTCTGTTGAAACTCGGACCGTATATTCATATTTTGCGCAACAAACATGAACCACTAAAGTTGTAATTTTACCTGTTTAGCCAAAAAAAGTATAAATATAATCTGAACAGAGAAAATTCTCAAATTAATGTTGTATGTCATTTTTTCTAGACCGAAGGTCGGTGACCATTGAGCACAAAAAAATGACATTTAGGAATAAAGAAAATGAGAAGCGTTGGTCAATAACAGCAGTTATACAGTACGTGTCTAGAAAAAGTTTGAATAATAGTGTCGCTGGTTTAGTTGAAGTAAAGCCACAATGACCCACACTGCATGCTGTTCTTGTTGAAGGATAGTTTAGTGTCGCCCACTGTGATGAGGTGGGTCACTGGTGCCGGCTCTGGCCCTCAGTGATAACTCACACCGGCCTGCTTGTTCTAGCGCTGATAGAGCCGGTCTCTGCTGCCTCACTTAGTGTGCCAATTAGAGCTTTGAAAATGGACAGTTGTGTAATTATGTGACTTTTAAAACCTCCTATTAAAGGGTTACGCAAAACATGTGTTTTGTATTTAAAATTTGTGTTGATCGCTGTGAAAAAAAGCCACATTAAATCTACTGTTATTCAATATTGTACAACAATAAAACTTGCAGTGAATGAGGAAACGCTTGTTATATTCGTTCTATAGCCATATGAACATGGTGTTTTGACATTGTTCGACAATGGCATTTTAAATATGACTCCTCAGCATTACCGTAATCAGCTACATGATGTATTTCAGTCTCTTAGGTTTCCTTTTTTCATAAAAGTCCAAATCACATTTCACCCACATGCCTGGTGTTTATGTTATAGATGCTTCATGTTAATCCCCTTTTAAACTAGATTGTTATGAGGAACCCAACACATTATATTGTCTGTTCTTTTAGACATTTTTAAAACAAAATGTCAAACTCTTTATAGCTCAATTTGCTATTGTCTGCTTTACTTTCCACAAATAACGCATTCAGAGTACAGATTATGAACATTTCTGTCAGGTAGAAAATGTCGCTTTGACGACTGGGAGTGTCTGTATGCTGTATGTTGAGACACATGGATGCAGCTGATAGCTTCTACACAGTGGTGATAACAGGCCTGAGTCTTCAGCTGGGGGCCCCATTGTCGTATGTATTTCCACTGTAGTCTCTTTGATCCGCTGACTTTTCATTCATCCGAAGTAAACTGTGCCGCTTTTCTTTTTTTTATCGGACGGCGCATCTTTCCTGTGATTATTTGATGTCGTCAAGGAAAGCATCCCTAACAAACAATGTTAACATGTCAATTCCTTCCTGCATTCCTGATTAGTTTCAGGACTTATGAAGTCAAGCGTTACCTTTTCTCGTCTCGACATCGAACCCGTGACTCAGACTACCCGGAAAGTAACATCTGCCAGAGATGACAAAAGGGTTTCCCCCGTTGTGACAATGAACCGTCTTATTCTTATCGAATGTCACGTGACTTGAACGAGATCTCCACACAACGGACTTGTTCGTGTTAAATCATCCGATAGCCTATAGCCGTGAAATACAAAAGACTACATGCATTTTATAAACAAGCACATGGTCTTTGTCGAGATCGGAGGCTGAAATCTGTTATTTCATAGACAGGATAGAGGCTTTTGTCTGTCGGAGACCTTGAGAGATAATCCTAAATCTCATCATACATCATACAAGGACTACCGAATAAACTACCGTCAGAGACAACCATTTTAGCAAAAATATTAACTTATGTCTTCTCGAAACATAATCAGTTATGTAATAAATGTGACGTGAAAAGAAGATGGCTATTATTTCAGGAAAGTCTGTCTCCTTCAAAATGACTAACAGAGTCCCCTAACCTCTCTGATATTGTGTGATGCTTTACATTTGGACCCATACACTGCCTTTCAAAAGTTTGGAATCGGCTGTTATGTTGATGTTTTTCTTCTTTCCTTCATTAATGGCAATTTAATTCAGACACCACATGTTCAGTTGATATTCTGTGTCGCAGTTCCAACAGTGCCAACCCTGCACTACCCCCTTTTATTGCTATTGTGATTATTGTTGTATTCTCTTGCTCATGCTGCTTAATGTCATCAAATCGTATTGAGGACAGAATGAGGTTATATAACTGCCACTGCTACCTAAAACTCCCTCATGTTTTATACCGGTTCAATTGAAAGTATTTTACTTTTTCATTTTCTTACTTGATCACATCCACTTGTGAAAAGGACAAGAACCGGTGCAAGGTGTGTTTTGCCAATTTGTTGTTGCTATTTATGGCCAAACATAAAGATCTCTTGCACAGTTTGATACTGAACAAGTCCTCAAAAAGACATTTGAGATTATCAGTGACCCCTCACTGAAAAGCTGTAGCAAGATTAAATCAGTGATATTAACAATAAAGAAAATACGTTTGTATCTTTACCATATGAAAATATCTACTTTGAAGTTAATCTGCATTTGTTCAAAACAAAATAAATTGTAATTTTTTTCCCATAACAAGATGAATTTATGTAACAATGTTTTATTTTATCTGTTCCAGTATAATTGTGAAGTGGAAGGAGCCGGTGGAAGAAGTAAGCCATGAGTAACACATTCAGTACTGAGGGATGCAGTGGATGACATCAGGTCTTTCACAATCTAACTCAGCCATGAGTCGGTGGATGACATTTTACTGGCAGTATAACCTGTCATGAATCAGAGTTTTCGGCAAAGATGGCTGCCTCAACCACTTTACCACTGAAATGATGAGCACTGTAGCAACAACTTCTTAGGTGTGGTATAAAAATCATTGTGAAATCCTGGTTTTGCAACCCTGACTCTTTTGACTTTACTTGCAAATGTGTCTTTTACTTACATAAAAATATTTATCTTTATATTTATAATATAATATTTAGTCTTCATACAAAGACTAGGTTTGTTTGATCTACATAATAATGTGATGCAAAGATTTACCTTAATTTTATAGGGAAGATTAAGCAGGATATTTTTATTAGTACACACACAACTACTTTAGGTTAATGCCATCTTTCATTGATGGCTGCAATGAAAAACAGTTGGGTTCCTCCCCCCCCCCCCCCCCCCGGGGAATCCCCAGTACGTACACAACATGACGTACTAAGGTGATGTCCTCTTGATGCTGTATGTGGATACTGTGCCCTCTTTGCCCCATGTGTGCCCCTCAGACAGGATGAGGCCTGCTGGTCCGAACAGGTTTCTCTTTGATGACTGTACAGGCTCAGACCTGGTTCATGCTGGGAGGGCGGAGCGGGCAAACTAGGGTTGGGATATCCCTGACCCAAGGTGTCCCTGGCCGATAGGGCCGACAGGCCTTATCTCTCCCACCCAGAGGGGTTGACGGGTACAGCGCTTCTTAGGGTCTACGTAGTTTCATATGGGTGTTCCCGCTGCTCGCATTC